TTGCCTGTTTTTCTTTTTCTTTTTCCTGCAACTTCTAGAACTTAGTTTACCCACAAGTCACAAATACCTCATCCAATCGATCTGAAACTTTCAACACTTGTGTACTGCACCAAAGATCAAATTCTTGAAACAACTGGTATATTCACATGCCCTATGACCTAAGGTGTTAAAACCATTCCCATCTTCCTGGAATGGCTCGGATACCTTCCAAAATCCTTGAAAAAAGTAAAATTCAAATGTGTAAGTGCAGATTTGATAATTTAATGTGTAAAATAGTGCAAAACTGTTATTATCATTAAATCTGAGCACCTTTAACCCTTTCAGGGTTGGCGCCGCACAGGCACAGCTTGCACACCAGGGTTGGCGCCGCACTGGCACAGCTTGCACACCAGGGTTGGCGCCGCACTGGCACAGCTTGCACACCAGGGTTGGCGCCGCACTGGCACAGCTTGCACACCAGGGTTGGCGCCGCACTGGCACAGCTTGCACACCAGGGTTGGCGCCGCACTGGCACAGCTTGCACACCAGGGTTGGCGCCGCACTGGCACAGCTTGCACACCAGGGTTGGCGCCGCACTGGCACAGCTTGCACACCAGGGTTGGCGCCGCACTGGCACAGCTTGCACACCAGGGTTGGCGCCGCACTGGCACAGCTTGCACACCAGGGTTGGCGCCGCACTGGCACAGCTTGCACACCAGGGTTGGCGCCGCACTGGCACAGCTTGCACACCAGGGTTGGCGCCGCACTGGCACAGCTTGCACACCAGGGTTGGCGCCGCACTGGCACAGCTTGCACACCAGGGTTGGCGCCGCACTGGCACAGCTTGCACACCAGGGTTGGCGCCGCACTGGCACAGCTTGCACACCAGGGTTGGCGCCGCACTGGCACAGCTTGCACACCAGGGTTGGCGCCGCACTGGCACAGCTTGCACACCAGGGTTGGCGCCGCACTGGCACAGCTTGCACACCAGGGTTGGCGCCGCACTGGCACAGCTTGCACACCAGGGTTGGCGCCGCACTGGCACAGCTTGCACACCAGGGTTGGCGCCGCACTGGCACAGCTTGCACACCAGGGTTGGCGCCGCACTGGCACAGCTTGCACACCAGGGTTGGCGCCGCACTGGCACAGCTTGCACACCAGGGTTGGCGCCGCACTGGCACAGCTTGCACACCAGGGTTGGCGCCGCACTGGCACAGCTTGCACACCAGGGTTGGCGCCGCACTGGCACAGCTTGCACACCAGGGTTGGCGCCGCACTGGCACAGCTTGCACACCAGGGTTGGCGCCGCACTGGCACAGCTTGCACACCAGGGTTGGCGCCGCACTGGCACAGCTTGCACACCAGGGTTGGCGCCGCACTGGCACAGCTTGCACACCAGGGTTGGCGCCGCACGAGTACAGCTTGCACACCAGGGTTGGCGCCGCACGAGTATAGCTTGCACACCAGGGTTGGCGCCGCACGAGTACAGCTTGCACACCAGGGTTGGCGCCGCACGAGTACAGCTTGCACACCAGGGTTGGCGCCGCACGAGTACAGCTTGCACAGCAGGGTTGGCGCCGCACGAGTACAGCTTGCACACCAGGGTTGGCGCCGCACGAGTACAGCTTGCACACCAGGGTTGGTGCCTTACTAGTACGCATAAATTCTAGCGCCTTCAAATCTAATGAGAGAAAGCTGGTAGGCCTACATATGAAAGAATGGGCCTATGTGGTTGGTGTGCACAGTATAAAAAAATCCTGCAGCACACAGTGCATGAGGAAAAAAAAAAAAACTCCGACCATGTTTTTGCTTTAAAACAGCGACTTTGCAGTGTATTTTTGTATGCTATTTATAGTTGTATTCTAGTTTTCCTGGTCTCATTTTACAAAATGGAAGACACATTACGGAAATTGAGACGATTTTGATTGGTTTCACAATGAAAAGCACCTTGAAATTAAGCTCAAAGTAGCAGAAATGTTCGATTTTTGCCAAAGTTCAAAAGTACACAAATCATGCAATGCGTCCAATACATGTCAACTGGTGAGTCTAATATTCTTTTACAAGTGCGCTGATATTATCTGTACCATTTCTACACTAATCCAGTAGTCTGCATAACAGTAAATATTCTATTTTTTTGAGAAAAATTCTAAGTGGAAAGCAAAAGAAATGTAAGAGGCCTGGGGACGTGACTAATGAACAGAAAAATCATTATTTTAGTGCCAGGAATGTCTGTCTTCTTTATTCTGGACCCTATTTGGAAATTGGCATCTTTTGAAATTAGTGTGAAATTACTGATTTCAGCTATCCAATAAAGTGGTCAGAAATTGGCAAAATTGCTAATTTCTGACCACTTTACTGTATAGTTGAAATTAGTAAATGGGTGGTTTCTTGTACTCATTCAATAGAAAAAATGGAGTTCTAGCGAAATAGTTATGATTTTTGTTGACTGGTACATTGGAATTGGCCGAAAATAGGGTTCAAAGTGGGCGAAATCACCGATGCGTAAACATCGTCAAGACCACTAACTTTGCAAGAGCATAATTCCCTAAGTTTTCCATCAAATTTCATACTTTTGGTGTCATTATGATCGAGAAAAGATTCTATCATTTCATTAAAAATAATTTTTTTTCCTTGAAAAATTTCCGACCCTGAGAACAAGTTTAGGAGAGGGCCTGCCGACCCTGAAAGGGTTAATATCTAATGCTTGGTGCATCTTAAGGTACCCCATTGCTCCATCTCATCTGTCTGCAGTACATAAGCCCCATCTCCGCTAGTATGCTTCACTTTTATCAAGATTGATGGACTGAACGTATCAATTTTAGACTGAGGAACTGATGACCTCAAACTCCTCATCTTCCATCGTTTCTGTACATTGGACTGAAGAAGCCAATGGCTGGCAAAACATTTCCAGAATAGAAATACTCACATGTTGCAAGTTACTCTGGCCTCTTTTTTTTTTTATTTTGTAACATTGCACAAGTGTCTCATTTATCATCTCTAATAAGTTCTAAATCAACCAGACTAAGATGGACATGTGGGCCAGTGGGCTACCAGCAGCAACAACATGACTGACCAGGAAAGCTTTGGACAAGCCTGGTCCAGGGCCATGTTCTGAGACCAGAAGAAACTCAAAATTCAAAGGTATATCAAAGATAACCAATTTCCTCAAATCACTTCATACACGTTTCCTTGCTTATACAGTGGACCCCCGCATAACGATATTAATCCGTTCCTGAGAGCTCATTGTTATGTGAAATTATCGTTATGCGAATGAATTTTCCCCATAAGAAATAATGGAAATCAAATTAATCCGTGCAAGACACCCAAAAGTATGAAAAAAAAAAATTTTACCACATGAAATATACATTTTCCTACACACAAAGAGAAGGATACATGCACAATAGTAGAGTAGTACATGCACAATATATATTGTGCATGTACTACTCTACTAAATGAAGAATAAATGACACTTACCTTTATTGAAGATGCAGCAATGACTGATGAGACACTGCCCTGGGAGTGCCTTTTCCTCCTGAGTACTGTAGGTCCTGTTTGGCATTTTCTTCCAGAACAGGCCTTATCACACTGTATGCCACTACGATTCTTAAATCTCTCAAACCAACCTTTGCTGGCTTTAAATTCACCAATATGAGCACTAGTTCCAGGCATTTTTCCTGTTCACCTGGGTGTTAGTCAACTGGTGTGGGTTGCATCCTGGGAGACAAGATTAAGGACCCCAATGGAAATAAGTTACAGTCTTCGATGACACTTGACTTTTTTGGGTTATCCTGGGTGGCTAACCCTCTGAGGTTAATTGTTTCTTGGTATTCTCAATAAGGCACACCAACAACGGTGCTACAGCAGCAGCAGCAGCTGACAGTGCTAGAGCAGCAGCTGACAGTGCTAGAGCAGCAGCTGACAGTGCTAGAGCAGCAGCTGACAGTGCTAGAGCAGCAGCTGACAGTGCTACAGCAGCAGCTGACAGTGCTACAGCAGCAGCTGACAGTGCTACAGCAGCAGCTGACAGTGCTACAGCAGCAGCTGAGGTGCTACAGCAGCAGCTGATGGTGCTACAGCAGCAGCTGATGGTGCATACACAGCAGCAGCAGACGTACTACAGCAGCAGCTGACGGTGGTACAGCAGCAGCAGCAGCTGACGGTGCTACAGCAGCAGCAGCAGCAGCAGCTGACGGTGCTACAGCAGCAGCAGCTGACGGTGCTACAGCAGCAGCAGCATCAGCAGTTGACCATGGTACCACAGTATTTCGATAATATTTCTCACTTTTTTACCACAGGGTTGGCACTAGAAGCTTTCTTGGGGCCCATGGTCACTTATTTTGCAGATAAAATCACCAAAAACGCTGTATAATACGAAATGTTCCGATTGTATGCTTGGATGTTACCGTGGAGGCTGGCTGGTAAACAATGCCACCGGCGGAACATGTGAGGCTGGCTCAGGCCTCGCAGACGCGTCTCGGACGAATAGCGCTGAGCGGGTTTTTTAGCGGTATGCGAGGCAAAATCTTAGCGATAAAATGTATCAGTATGCGGATTTAACGTTATGTGATGCCAACGGTATGCGGGGGTCCACTGTACTCCAACAGCTCAACAAGCAATGAAAACTACTTGTCTCTATTCACTCCAATCTAACACAAACAAGAAGACCAGATGCTCCAGCCCCTAGCCCTTGAGACCACCTTTACCCCCTCCCTCCAACCCTTCCAGGGATGACCTCTACCCCTTCCTAACACCACATCTTGGTAACCTAATTTGCTCCTCCTCATTGAAAGGACATGAATATAATGATCAATAAATTGCTCCAACCTCTTAAATGGCCAAATCTCCTCTATTATTCCTATTATTATTACACTCATGAGAGTGCTAAACCTGCTGGGATCATACAGTGCCTATGGAATGGGAGCATTCAAGTTTATCCAAAGAAGGAGAGGACAAGCGTAATTGTTTGGTTCAAAAGTCAACATCAGATTTCTAATCACCTAAGTAATTAAAACTGAACTTACCAAATTCAGAGTCATCTCTCTTGTCAAAGAAAAGCTTCCCAGCAATCTTCTGAACGACCACATCCCAGGAATTGCTAGATCGTGTGCAACACATGATAGTTGACAAAATGGCATCAGTAGCATAGACATTACTATCTTCAGTCTTGGTCAACTGCAAATTTAAGAGCAGTGTAATTGCTATTTAACATTAAAAAGAATTACTAGTAAAAATTCTTAACTATAGTCAATGTGAAGAAAAAGAATACAAGTGTAATTAACCACACATAAAATATTCACAAGTATAGAGCAAGAATTAAATTCATAGTTAAAAAAGACGACTTCCGGATTAACAAAAAACTAATAATGAGCAGCATTTTAATTTCCAATAGAGAAAGAATAACAGGTACTCGAGAGGCTTGAAATATAGTTTAATTTGAGTGGTAAATTAAATTAAAAAATGATCGTACCTGACGAATTACTGGGTCATCAGTGGTGGTGACCTTGTGGAAGATGCGATTAATACGAGTCAGCTTTTTCTCATTTTTGACAGTTACACGATCATAAGCCTTGTCATAGTACTCTAGAGAGCCACAAAGATACCTGGAAAAAGTTAAAAATAAGGGAATAATGTACTATTTTATATCATAAATTTGAAATTTTTTGGGGGTTTAAAAATTTCCACTAAAAAAAGGACTTACAAGTCTTTTGGATCATCCACACTGGGCAAGGACAGCTTCGATAATCGAGGGAAGTCCATTTCCTCAATCACCTTCCATTCAGGACGTACAGTAACAGAAGCATCACGGTTTTTGATAGGAGGGTGTCCACTACGGTTCCAGCGATTACGCTGGTACTGCTGTTTCTGCCAGTTGTTCTTGTTCTGAAATCCAAATCTATCTATCTTATTAATCATGAATACCTATTATACAATTTAAAAACATGCATTTATCTGACCTCTAGCTCTTAATATTTGTTAAAGTATTTGAAATATATAATTTTATTTTTTTTATTATCACACCGGCCGATTCCCACCAAGGCAGGGTGGCCCGAAAAAGAAAAACTTTCACCATCATTCACTCCATCACTGTCTTGCCAGAAGGGTGCTTTACACTACAGTTTTTAAACTGCAACATTAACACCCCTCCTTCAGAGTGCAGGCACTGTACTTCCCATCTCCAGGACTCAAGTCCGGCCTGCCGGTTTCCCTGAATCCCTTCATAAATGTTACTTTGCTCACACTCCAACAGCACGTCAAGTATTAAAAACCATTTGTCTCCATTCACTCCTATCAAACACGCTCAAGCATGCCTGCTGGAAGTCCAAGCCCCTCGCACACAAAACCTCCTTTACCCCCTCCCTCCAACCCTTCCTAGGCCGACCCCTACCCCGCCTTCCTTCCACTACAGACTGATACACTCTTGAAGTCATTCTGTTTCGCTCCATTCTCTCTACATGTCCGAACCACCTCAACAACCCTTCCTCAGCCCTCTGGACAACAGTTTTGGTAATCCCACACCTCCTCCTAACTTCCAAACTACGAATTCTCTGCATTATATTCACACCACACATTGCCCTCAGACATGACATCTCCACTGCCTCCAGCCTTCTCCTCGCTGCAACATTCATCACCCACGCTTCACACCCATATAAGAGCGTTGGTAAAACTATACTCTCATACATTCCCCTCTTTGCCTCCAAGGACAAAGTTCTTTGTCTCCACAGACTCCTAAGTGCACCACTCACTCTTTTTCCCCCATCAATTCTATGATTCACCTCATCTTTCATAGACCCATCCGCTGACACGTCCACTCCCAAATATCTGAATACGTTCACCTCCTCTATACTCTCTCTCCCTCCAATCTGATATTCAATCTTTCATCACCTAATCTTTTGTTATCCTCATAACCTTACTCTTTCCTGTATTCACCTTTAATTTTCTTCTTTTGCACACCCTACCAAATTCATCCACCAATCTCTGCAACTTCTCTTCAGAATCTCCCAAGAGCACAGTGTCATCAGCAAAGAGCAGCTGTGACAACTCCCACTTTGTGTGTGATTCTTTATCTTTTAACTCCACGCCTCTTGCCAAGACCCTCGCATTTACTTCTCTTACAACCCCATCTATAAATATATTAAACAACCACGGTGACATCACACATCCTTGTCTAAGGCCTACTTTTACTGGGAAAAAATTTCCCTCTTTCCTACATACTCTAACTTGAGCCTCACTATCCTCGTAAAAACTCTTCACTGCTTTCAGTAACCTACCTCCTACACCATACACTTGCAACATCTGCCACATTGCCCCCCTATCCACCCTGTCATACGCCTTTTCCAAATCCATAAATGCCACAAAGACCTCTTTAGCCTTATCTAAATACTGTTCACTTATATGTTTCACTGTAAACACCTGGTCCACACACCCCCTACCTTTCCTAAAGCCTCCTTGTTCATCTGCTATCCTATTCTCCGTCTTACTCTTAATTCTTTCAATTATAACTTACCATACACTTTACCAGGTACACTCAACAGACTTATCCCCCTATAATTTTTGCACTCTCTTTTATCCCCTTTGCCTTTATACAAAGGAACTATGCATGCTCTCTGCCAATCCCTAGGTACCTTACCCTCTTCCATACATTTATTAAACAATTGCACCAACCACTCCAAAACTATATCCCCACCTGCTTTTAACATTTCTATCTTTATCCCATCAATCCCGGCTGCCTTACCCCCTTTCATTTTACCTACTGCCTCACGAACTTCCCCCACACTCACAACTGGCTCTTCCTCACTCCTACAAGATGTTATTCCTCCTTGCCCTATACACGAAATCACAGCTTCCCTATCTTCATCAACATTTAACAATTCCTCAAAATATTCCTTCCATCTTCCCAATACCTCTAACTCTCCATTTAATAACTCTCCTCTCCTATTTTTAACTGACAAATCCATTTGTTCTCTAGGCTTTCTTAACTTGTTAATCTCACTCCAAAACTTTTTCTTATTTTCAACAAAATTTTTTGATAACATCTCACCCACTCTCTCATTTGCTCTCTTTTTACATTGCTTCACCACTCTCTTAACCTCTCTCTTTTTCTCCATATACTCTTCCCTCCTTGCATCACTTCTACTTTGTAAAAACTTCTCATATGCTAACTTTTTCTCCCTTACTACTCTTTTACATCATCATTCCACCAATCGCTCCTCTTCCCTCCTGCACCCACTTTCCTGTAACCACAAACTTCTGCTGAACACTCTAACACTACATTTTTAAACCTACCCCATACCTCTTCGACCCCATTGCCTATGCTCTCATTAGCCCATCTATCCTCCAATAGCTGTTTATATCTTACCCTAAACTGCCTCCTCTTTTAGTTTATAAACCTTCACCTCTCTCTTCCCTGATGCTTCTATTCTCCTTGTATCCCATCTACCTTTTACTCTCAGTGTAGCTACAACTAGAAAGTGATCTGATATATCTGTGGCCCCTCTATAAACATGTACATCCTGAAGTCTACTCAACAGTCTTTTATCTACCAATACATAATCCAACAAACTACTGTCATTTCGCCCTACATCATATCGTGTATACTTATTTATCCTCTTTTTCTTAAAATATGTATTACCTATAACTAAACCCCTTTCTATACAAAGTTCAATCAAAGGGCTCCCATTATCATTTACACCTGGCACCCCAAACTTACCTACCACACCCTCTCTAAAAGTTTCTCCTACTTTAGCATTCAAGTCCCCTACCACAATTACTCTCTCACTTGGTTCAAAGGCTCCTATACATTCACTTAACATCTCCCAAAATCTCTCTCTCTCCTCTGCATTCCTCTCTTCTCCAGGTGCATACACGCTTATTATGACCCACTTCTCGCATCCAACCTTTACTTTAATCCACTAATTCTTGAATTTACACATTCATATTCTCTTTTCTCCTTCCATAACTGATCATTTAACATTACTGCTACCCCTTCCTTTGCTCTAACTCTCTCAGATACTCCAGATTTAATCCCATTTATTTCCCCCTACTGAAACTCTCCTACCCCCTTCAGCTTTGTTTCGCTTAGGGCCAGGACATCCAACTTCTTTTCATTCATAACATCAGCAATCATCTGTTTCTTGTCATCCGCACTACATCCACGCACATTTAAGCAACCCAGTTTTATAAAGTTTTTCTTCTTCTCTTTTTTAGTAATTGTATACAGGAGAAGGGTTACTAGCCCATTGCTCCCGGCATTTTAGTCGCCTCATACGACACGCATGGCTTACGGAGGAAAGATTCTTTTCCACCTCCCCATGGACAATAGAAGAAATAAAAAAGAACAAGAGCTATTTAGAAAAAGGAGAAAAACCTAGATGTATGTATATATATATATGCATGTGCGTGTCTGTGAAGTGTGACCAAAGTGTTAGTAGGAGTAGCAAGATATCCCTGTTATCTTAGCGTGTTTATGAGACAGAAAAAGAAACCAGCAATCCTACCATCATGCAAAACAATTACAGGTTTTTGTTTCACAGTCATCTGGCAGGACGGTAGTACTTCCCTGGGTGGTTGCTGTCTACCAACCTACTACCTACCTATATAAATCCAAAAATAAAGAAAATGCTGTGCACAGTACAGTTACCCATCAGTTTCATTAAACTTTATTTAAAGAACCTTGAAAATAAGAGACTAAATTCACCGTAACACACTGGACAAAGTTGGTGTTATAGAATTGTTAGATACAGTTTTGATCAAGAAAGAACAATCTCATCACTATCTTACCACAACTGCCTCTGGATGTCAAGAGGCTCCAGCCAGAGGTCGTCCCCTTCAGTGGTCATCTGCTTTCCCCATTAGTCCATTTAAATGTAGGTTTACTAACAAATCTACATATTTACAATATCTTAGGCCTTAATTTTCCCATCTTGGAAATCTTCTTCCTCAATGTGTTCACCTCACAAAGTCTCTCAAATACTATTAGTATTGCATAACAGTAAATCTTTATTTTTTGTGTGAATAAAAAATCAAAATGGAATTAATGTGGGAGATTTCTTGTGCTCAATTGATAAAATGGAACACACACTAGCAAAATACCTAAGAATTTGGTTGACCGGAATAACATAAATGGCCTACAACACTACTCAAAGTGGGCAAAAATCGCCAATGTATAACTACTGCTGACACAGCAAAATTAGTAAAATGTAATCTCATCAATTTCTTTTATCAAATTCTGTACTTTTTGTTTTATTATCTTCAGAAAAAGATTCTGTTTCAAAAGAATTTTTTTTTTTTTTTTAAATTCTAGGACACTGTAGACAAGTTTCAGAGTGCAAGTTTGGACGGTGAAAGGGTTAACAGTGACATTGATAAGAAAAATTTACACATTCTGAATGAAACCTTATACAGTGGACCCCCGCATAACGATGGCATCACATAGCGATTTTTCCGCATAACGATTACTTTTATCGCAAAATTTTTGCCGCGCATACCGATTAAAAACCCGCTTACCGATTTTCGTCCGAGACGCGTCCAATGTGCCCTCAGCCAGCCTCACATGTGCCGCCCCGTCCCATTGTTTACCAGCCAGCCTCCGCGGTAACATCCAAGCATACACTCGGAATATTTCGTATTATTACAGTATTTTCGGTGCTGTTTCTGGAAAATAAGTGACCATGGGCCCCAAGAAAAGCTTCTAGGGCCAACCCTGTGGTAAAAAGGGTGAGAATTAGTATGGAAATTAAGAAGATTTTGAAGGGTTTGGGGCTAACCCTGAGAAGCCTATGCCAGTTGTGGAATCCATTGTCCCTATTTTCAAAGATTAAGGAAATGTGTGCACAGTGGGTTGAACTGCAACACTTTATAGATGAAAATCACCCTGACACAGCTGTTGCAAGCCGTGCTGGTGATATTTCAATGACAATGTTGTGGCCCATTTTAGAAAAATTTCGTAAAGGAACGGGAGGTACAGAGCTCTATGGACAGATTTGTTGTGCGACAGAGGTCCAGGGGACTCAAGCTGGTCCTAGTGGCATTAAAAGAAGAAGAAGTAACCCCGGAAAAAGGACTTGCTACCTCAAGTCGTAATGGAAGGGGATTCCCCTTCTAAACAGTAAGAAGATAATGCTCTCCCCTCCTCCCATCCCATCAATCATCACCAGATCTTCAATAAAAGTAAGTGTCATTTAATTGTGCATGCCTTTTTCAGTTTGTGTGTATTAAAATTAACATTTCATGTGGTAAAAAAAAATTTTTTTCATACTTTTGGGCGTCTTGCACGGATTAATTTGATTTCCATTATTTCTTATGGGGAAAATTCATTCGCATAACGATTATTTCGCATAACGATGAGCCCTCTTGCACGGATTAAAATCGTTAACCGGGGGTCCACTGTAGTTATTTTCAATTTTGGGGTCGTATGCCATGCAAAAAGACAATGAATGGACGTCAAGTAAAACTGAATAAAAAGTTACACAACATTTTTATATTATGAAGTATACAAATTCTGAGGTTTGACTGCATGTGATAAATTTTAAAAAGATTAAGACAGGGACCTAGAAGTAATAATAATAAAAAAAACTTGTTGGAAAGCCACATTAATGGGAAAACCTGAGAAATTTTATGCTACACTAACATTTAAAGAGTTTTAGCCGAACAATGTGTTGCTCACACCCTTTAAAAAAACACAAGTGAAAAGCTGAAAATTTCCAAGATGAGGGAATACAGTGGTTTCCAGAATTAGATATGAGGTATGAAGGAAATCAAAAAGCACTAACATGCCTTCATGAAAATGAGATGATAGTCTTACAAGAACAAGAGACCAAAGTTATAAACTAAGAGATCTAAATTGCCATATTGAAGCTAGCCAATTGTTGATACAACTTACTCTCTCTTGTTGCCTTTGCCAAGGACTTGCATTTGCTGACCCTTCTGGTTGCGCTGATTTTTTAAGTTACGTTGATTACGCATGTAACGGCCACGCTGGTATAACGGCTTGGGCACATTAGTCTTGTATACATGTTGGAAGGTGGACTCATCCTCCTCATGGTAATATGCATACTGCTGCATGCTTCCAAAGGTTGACTGATACTTGACTGCAAAAATAAGAAAATTATTTAGTTGATCATAGACTGAACATAGATCTGTTTGGAGTTTAAGGGTTAAACAAAAATACCAACCACTAACACTATCCCCCCCTGCTTTTAACATTTCTGTCATGATCCCATCAGTTCCAGCTGCTTTACCCCATTTCATTCTACGTAATGCCTCACGCATCTCCCCCACACTCACATTCTGCTCTTCTTCACTGCTAAAGGATGGTATACCTCCCTGGCCAATGCATGAAATTACTGCACCCCTTTCTTCGTCGACAATTAAAAGTTCCTCAAAATATTCCCGCCATCTACCCAATACCTCCATCTCCCCATCTACTAACTCTCCTTCTCTGTTTTTAACTGACAAATCCCTTCGTTCCCTAGGCTTTCTTAACTTGTTTAACTAACTTCAAAATTTTTTCTTATTTTCATTAAAAATTTCTTGACAGTACCTCTCCCACTCTATCATCTGCTCTCCTTTTGCACTCTCACCACTCTCTTTGCCTTTCTTTAACTGTCCATATACTCTGCTCTTATAACACTTCTGCTTTGTAAAAACCTCTCATAAGCTAACTTTTCTCTTTTATCACACCCTTTACTTCATCATTCCACCAATCACTCCTCTTTCCTCCTGCCCCCCCACCCTCCTATAACCACAAACTTCTGCTCCACATTCTAATACTGCATTTTTAAAACTATTACACCCTCTTCAACCCTCCCACTACTCATACTTGCACTATCCCACCTTTCTGCCAATAGTTGTTTATATGGTTAAGGAGTTTAATTTACTTACTTAAAACAGTATATGAAATTCATCTAAGCAAATACATTAAACACACTTCTATATAAACTGAAGTGAAGTATAAAAAAATTAGGCAAGAGTTAACAGAAGCTTTAAAAAATGAATCTGGAAATACAATCATTATTTTTAGTGGAAATTACTATTAATATAATGTACAAAAAAATTAAATGCAAAACATTCTCTATGGTAACCTTTAGACCAAGACATTCCTAAGCTCAAGTACTGATTTTACTTACTGGCATATCGCCGATCTTGATAGGTAGCACCAGTCCAATCTGATACCTAAAGAACAAAAGGATAATCAAATACTGTACATTTTAAAAAATGACCATTAAAACAAACTGAAACATCTTTACGAATCTAATAACAATATTTGTACATGTTACAATTTCAGGATGTTCAGGATTTTAACCAGATAACTTTTTAAAGTGGAAGTGTGAAAAACTTTTAATGCTAAAAAGAACCACTCATATGCTGATTTGGCTATGACTCACAAAATTGCAATGAAACAACTGCAAACCATACCAACAGCAGGGATTGAGCTCATGGCGAGCATGTCATGAGACTCCAATCCTGGCGTAAGCAACAGGGCCAGCTGGCTACAATAAGATTCATCCAACTAGGTATGGTTCATTTGCAATCATGTCATTACAATTTCATAAGTCATGATGACGGCTTTGAGGGGACTGGAGCTATAGTTTGTCACGGCCAAGCTGGTGGGAGATTCATCTGTAAAAACTTGTATTTGTGGTCACAGTGGGGCCTGTGCTAACCTCTCCATGGTGTATAAATATACCTAGTTGGACGAATCTTATTGTTGCCAGTTGGCCTAGTGGCTTACGCGCTGGCCTGGAGTTTCATGCCTCACTCGCCATGAGTCCGATCCCTGCCCATGGTATGGTTTGATTTGGCTATGACAATCAGTAATAAAAAGAATGAGCATACTGCCCTTTACATGAAATTAAGAAACAAAAAAAATTGGAGATTATTATTACAATTAAGACTAAGCACTAAACCCACAAGAATCACAGAAAATTGGGGAACAGAAGAAAATTACTGGAAGCCAGTAGACCTACCTTCTATTACAGCTCAGGAAGTGATAAGTGAAATCTGCTATATATTTCCAAGTTATAATCAGAGATGCAATCCAGAAAAAAATATTACTACAGAATACTTATTAAATCCAAATTTTTAATGAGTATCAGACACACAGCATGTCAATACGGAATGAACACATACACGTGGAGAACATGCCAGCTATGAACATACTGTCCAGTTAACAAAAATCACCAGTAAGAGCTGGCTTAGTAAGCTTATTTAGGTACAAGTAGACAAACAGTTAAACAAGTATATACAGTAACGTGTAAATTACCAAGGATAACCCCCAAAGTCAAAGTGACTTACACACGTTAATATGTATGATAATTTATGTAACTTGTGTGTAACTGTACATAAATACAATTATTTACTAAGCCAGCCTCACAGGTGACTTAACTGGACTATATTTTCACAGCTGGCAAGTTCTTGACATTATGTTCAGTATAATGATTACTGCTTAGCAGAGGACTGGTTCTCACTAGATATAATTGTCCCCCAAATAAGAGCTTAATTACACCAAGTAACAAAATCAAGAGATTAATAATTCCAAGCCATAAATATTGTAAAAGGTAAAACATTAGTATTTCTGAAAGTGATTTTTTATGTCAATGGTATCGTATTTGGAAATTAGTTTGCTTAGGACGTTTATCAAAAAAAAAAGTTCCGGTGATGGGGTTACCAAGGTTCCAGCACCGAAACGTTTCTTTCGTAATAAAAAAAATGTTTTAAGTGACTGCAAATTCCCTGTCCTGCCTTACCTTGCCCAGCCTGTCTCCCTTAGAGAAGGGCTGGTAGGGCATGTCCTTGAACTGCTCGGGCACATCACTAGGGCCCCACCCATTAGGGTTGTCCTGGATGGCTATGGCCACAAATTTCGCCGTCATTTCGACGAAATATGTGCCGGACAGCGGGTAGAGCAGCAGCTGTGTAGTGTGACAACACCACGCCAGGCAGCACCACGGCTGCTCAACTGACTCTCTCAACCTCCTCACTCTCAAATCACCCTAAAAAAAACCATTTACAGGCATAATTTTCATTTCAATAGACCAACCTCCACATTCCGTTAAAAAATTAATCTCTATTTTACCCTTAAAAATTTATATAACTGAATATTTCCCATTTGCGGTCCTCATTTGACAATGCGGCAGAGGAGCTGTAAAATGCGTTGATTTCTAGTGTAATTATGCCAAAAATAATGGTATAATACATTGCCTTCTAACAATTCAGCCATTTTTCTAACGTCCGTGGAAAATATACAATAGAATGCGGACACTTTTAATATTTACATAGTTATAATTTGAGACATTACCTTATTAATTAATGATTGATGGTAGATGGTGCACTGCAGTAATTGTGGAGAGAATACTTGTTAGTGAGGATATTACACGATGTTACATTACTGTTAATAGTGAGTGAGAGAGAGAGAGAGAGAGAGAGAGAGAGAGAGAGAGAGAGACAGACAGACAGACAAATAGTGAGAATGTGCATCCTATTGGCTTTCAGATTAGTATTTTTATTATATATTTCGTAATGGAAATAAGTAAAGGACCCCAGTGGAAATAAGTCACTCTGACTTTTTTTTGGGTTATCCTAGGTTATTTACACATATGCTGTTATGTATGAGAATCTATGTAACTGTATTTGTGTTGACCTGAATAAACTTACTTATATGCAGTACAGGGCCTCGGCTAGTGTACAGAGGCTAGCTACACTACCCCGTGCGTTGAGTGACCCACACGGGTTTAGCTCTTCATGGAATACAAGGGTAAGCGCATAATATACTCTGAGAGTCCATGACAAAAAGTTCAGTGACGAAGCCATGATCTGGGATAATCAAACTGGCTCTGAAACCAGACCTGCGCCCCCCGGTGGCCTGGTGGCTAAAGCTCCCGCTTCACACACGGAGGGCCCGGGTTTGATTCCCGACGAGTGGAAACATTTCGACACGTTTCCTTAAACCTGTTGTCCTGTTCACCTAGCAGCAAATAGGTACCTGGGTGTTAGTCGACTGGTGTGGGTCGCATCCTGCGGGACAAGATTGAGGACCCCAATGGAAGTAAGTTAGACAGTCCTCGATGACGCACTGACTTTCTTGGGTTATCCTGGGTGGCTAACCCTCCGGGGTTAAAAATCCAAACGAAATTTTATCTTATCTTATCTTAAAGACTACAGTCACCCTGGGATGGCCCAGTAATGGAGAATATAACCTCAATAATGCTTTAGAGTGTGTCAGGGAAGGATAGTGCCAGCCTCCTAGCAGTGAGAGCCCCTCATACAGGGGACTTTCGGTTGGCTGTTCCCAACTCCAGCCTTGGCACACGCCTCGACTCACAGACCATCCGCATTGGTTTTGCCCTTAGACTTGCTGCCCCTATTCTCGCCGAACACAGGTTTATTTGCGGTAGTGAATCGAAAGACCGATTCGGGTACCACAGTCTTGTGTGCTGTAGATCTGAGGGAAAGACTGCAAGGCATGAAGAGGTTATTAATATCAAGAGGAGCCTCTCAACAGTTAGGGCCCCTCAAGGAAGGTTCCTTGATGTTGGTGAGGGGCTCTTGATTTAGGGAATTGGATCTGTGCTCCAGTTCCCCGAATTAAGCCTGAATGCCTTCCACATCCCCCCCCAGGCGCTGTATAATCCTCCGGGTTTAGCGCTTCCCCCTTGATTATAATAATAATAATCAACAGTTAGGTGTCTGGCAATAAGGGAGCCACCCCAACTATACAGTCTGACGATAACCAAAAGCGTCCAGATGGTATCACCCTTCAAGCCTGGACAGACGGCAAGCAGATGGTATAGGACAACACATATGCATCTACAATGGCTGATTCCTATCTTCAATATACCAGGGAGGAAGGAGGAGCAGCTGCCAGCTTCAGGAAGTCCAGAAAGTCTAGAAAATACGATGAACTTGCCCATCATTATATGTTCATTCCCACAGGCTCGGAGACTTTTGGCCCATGGGAAAAGAGTGCATCTAAGTTCCTTACGGAGCTGGGCAAAAAACTCATCAGGGTAAATAGGGCGGCTAGTTTTCCGTTCCAGTGATTTAGCGCTGCGATTCAGAGGGGTAATGCCTGCTGTATCTTGGGCACGCGCCCCAGCTCTGAGGAGCTGGATGAGATTTTCGCATTGTAATTTTTGACAAATACGTAGCAATACGTACCTGAAATATATCACTTAAACCTTCTCATGTACTATATATGTCATCTTTATACCAGCAATGTATCTTTTAAATACTGTATACCATATTATGCAATAAAATATACCTATTAGTTAGAAAATTAAAAGATGGGGTGCTAGGGGAAGTGGAATACTCAAACGGCTTCAGGAAGAAATCCAAAAATTCTTCCTCGAAGCCTTTCTTTCCACTTCCCCGAGGCTATGAGTCCCACAATTTACGCCAGAGGTGGACTCCATTTTTTGAGAAATATGCCACTTGGTATATATACACAAGATATTACTACCGGCGTATATACACTGAAAGATAATGTTGCCGGTGTATATACACTGAGAGATATTGCTATCTGTATATATGCACTGAGATATATTGCTACTGGTGCATATACACTGAAATATAATAATCAGGTTTTCCACCGCCATTGATGTTAATATTAAATTTCCATTATCAATGAGTCCAAGTAGAAGCTTAGTCAAGTTTGTGAGGGTTAGAAAACAGGCGCTGGAGAGAACGTCACTGCTGATACCAGTTCATGAGGCTTATCACGTTTATCTTGAATAAACGCTTAGTCTATACACGGTGAAATGATTGGAGGCAGCTGTCACAGGCAGCACACACACACACACACACACACACACACACACCAGTGCTGTTTCTGGTATTTGTGAACGACATGACGGAAGGAATAAACTCCGAGGTGTCACTGTTTGCAGATGACGTGAAGTTGATGAGAAGAGTTCATTCGATCGAAGACCAGGCAGAAATACAAAGGGATCTGGACAGGCTGCAGACCTGGTCCAGCAACTGGCTCCTGGAGTTCAATCCCACCAAGTGCAAAGTCATGAGGATTGGGGAAGGGCAAAGAAGACCGCAGATGGAGTACAGTCTAGGGGGTCAGAGACTACAAACATCACTCAAGGAAAAAGATCTTGGGGTGAGTATTAACACCAGGCACATCTCCTGAAGCGTACATCAACCAAATAACTGCTGCAGCATATGGGCGCCTAGCAAACCTCAGAACAGCATTCCGACATCTTAATAAGGAATCGTTTCAGAACCCTGTACACCGTGTACGTTAGGCCCATATTGGAGTGTGCGTCACCAGTTTGGAACCCACACCTAGCCAAGCATGTAAAGAAACTAGAGAAAGTGCAAAGGTTTGCAACAAGACTAGTCCCAGAGCTAAGAGGTATGTCCCCATGAGGAGAGGGTTAAGGAAAATAAAACCCGACGACACTGGAGGACAGGAGAGATAGGGGGGACATGATAACGACTTACAAAATACTGAGAGGAATTGACAAGGTGGACAAAGACAGGATGTTCCAGAGACTGGACACAGTAACAAGGGGATACAGTTGGAAGTTGAAGACACAGATGAATCAAAGGGATGTTAGGAAGTATTTCTTCAGCCACAGAGTAATCAGGAAGTGGAATAGTTTGGGAAGCGATGTAGTGGAGTCAGGATCCATACATAGCTTTAAGCAGAGGTACGATAAAGCTCATGGTTCAGGGAGCGACCAGTGAAGAGGCGGGGCCAGGAGCTTGGAATCGACCCCTGCAACCTCAACTAGGTGAGTACACACACACACACACACACACCACACACACACACACACACACACACACACAAGAGCAGTGATGGCCGAGTGGTTAAGGCGTCTGACTAGAAATCAGATGGGATCTTCCCGCGTAGGTTCGAATCCTACTCACTGCGGCATAATATTTTACAGAGTAGTCAGTAAGTGGAATAGTTTGGGAAGCGATGTAGTGGAGGCAGGATCCATACATAGCTTTAAGCAGAGGTATGATAAAGCTCACGGCTCAGGGAGAGTGACCTAGTAGCGATCAGTGAAGAGGCGGGGCCAGGAGCTCGGACTCGACCCCCGCAACCTCAACTAGGTGAGTACAACTAGGTGAGTACACACACACACACACACACACACACACACACACACACACACACAAACAGGAAATATTTCTTCAGCCATTGAGATGTCAGGAAGTGGAAAAATCTGGAGAGTGATGTAGTGGAGGCAGGATCCATCCATAGCGTTAAGAAGAGATACGATAAATCTCATGGAGCAGGGGAAAGGGTGGACCTAGAAGCGACCAGCAAAGAGGCGGGGCCAGGAGCTGTGAATCGACCCCTACAACCACAAAAAGGTGACACACACACACACACACACACACACACACAGCCTTAAGGATATTAGGAAGTGGTACAATCTGGATAGTAAAGTAGTAGAACGAGGATCCATACATATTTTTAAGAGGAGGTACGATAAAGCTCTCGGAACCGGGAGAGTGGACCTAACAGTGACCAGTGAAGAGGCGGGGCCAGGAGCTATGCATCTACCCTTGCAACCATTTATATTTGAGAGGGAGCAGAAATGCTGTGTGCCATTAACCAGAATCTTCAACACATCGCTTGAAACTGGGCAACTACCTGAGGTATGGAAGACGGCAAATGTAGTTCCCATTTTTAAAAAAGGAGACAGAAAAGAGGCACTAAACTATCGACCAGTGTCACTGACGTGTAAAGTATGCAAAGTCATGGAGAAGATTATCAGGATGAAAGTAGTGGAGCACCTGGAACGGAACAAGATTATAAACGACAACCAACATGGATTCATGGAAGGCAAATACTGTGTCACAAACCTTCTGGAGTTTTATGAGAAAGTTACAGAAGTAAGACAAGAGAGAGGGGTGGGTTGATTGCATTTTCTTGGACTGCAAGAAGGCCTTCGACACAGTTCCTCACAAGTGATTAGTGCAGAAACTAGAGGATCAG